TATGCTGGTAAATGTTTAACAATTGCCTCTCTGGAAAAAAAAAAGGTGCCCATAGCACACTTGTTTGATCTGTATCATTAATATTTTCTCTATCACTTTCTTAAGTTGACCATCAACCAAACAATAAGTCAAGCCCTAATATGTAGTGTTTGCTAATTTCTTAGGTGTAAAGTGAGCCAGTCCAAGCCAGTTTCAACACACCACTGGTCATATATACCCTATGTAAGGTGGTGCTGACCACAGTCATTTTGCAATGACATTGTTAATATATTATAACCAAACTCCACCATAGAGTTTTGAAATCCTTGTATAAGATTATTTTTCCCAGACATCTGCTTATAAGGTATCACTTTGTTCCTCTGGAATTAACTGCCTGCAGAATATTATTTCACCTAACATTTTGTTTTGGCAGTGCCAATTAATGACATTAGGTGAGGTATGCTAATATTTAAAGAAAAGACATAGGACAGCATGACAACTGTCTTCTGTAAGCTAAACAACTCCAGTTCCTTCAATTATTCTACATTATGTTTGATTTCTATCCCAGCAGTAATGTAGCTCATGGTCTTCCGCTGGCTCCTCACTGTTCAGTGTGACTACACATTTAGAATCTTTCTGCCTTATATTATGGTTATTTGTGTATGCATGCAACCTCTCCTGTAAACTCTACAAGAGAGTGTTATTCATCCTTGTATCCCCCATAGAGTCTAGCACAGTGCTTTATGAATAGTAAAATGTCAATAAATATTTGTTGAATGAATTAATCTCTTCCTGTTATTTTGAAAATCTTGTGAAACTGTCGGAGTTTAGGTCATAGAGCTATGCCTAGGTTTTACCCAGAGCCTGGAAGTTTTTTGATATGCTCTCTTCTCATTTATAGAATCTCTAATCGGTCAGTTAATCAAACAAACACATTTGTTAAGGGGCTACCCTGGCACTATGCTAGGCATTGAGGGCACAAAGACAAAAATAACATGTCTCTGTCCTTCACCAGTATACATTTTATTGGGGGGGGAGGTATGTTAATACATGATATACAAAGTAAATACATTGTAATGGGGGAAGGTGTACTAACAGCTGGAGAGATAAGGAAAGGCTCTTTAAGATGTAAAACTTGAACTAGAACTAAAGCTTCACATTACAAGACATGGAGATGAGGAGGGATGCATAGAAATGGCCATGTAAAAGAGGAAGAGCAGGAGATGGAAGGCTGTGTCCCAGGGAATGAGAAGCCTCAGGGGACTGAATGTCAGCTCACTGAAGGCAGTGACTGTTTCATTTCACCTTTGTATCTCCAGAGCTTAGTAGAGTGTCTGTCCATAGCAATCACTTCATAAATGCATGTTGAGTAAATGCATATATAAGTTGTGAAAATCAGTAAAATAAAAGCTTTTTGAAGGCAGTTTATTTTCCTTATGGTTTGGTGTCCTCAGTGCCTAATGCACAGAAGACACTTAATGAATGCTTATAAAGAGGCAGCTAGGTGGTGAAGTGTCCAGAGTACTGAACTTTAAGTAAGGAAGACCCAATTCAAATCCAGCCTCAGATGATACTTATTAGCTGTGCGATTCAAATAACTTAACCTCTCTACCTGCCTCAGTTTTTTCATCTGTAAAATGGGTAATAATAGCATACCCTTCTGGGGTTGTTATGAGGATAAAACGAAATACTATTTACAGAGTTTTTTTTGTTAAACCTTAAAGAACTAAATAACTACTACTACTGCTAGTACTATATAGCATGGAATGGAATTGGGTGGTTATTTTCCTTCATTTTCAAAGAGAACCAGTGACACGATGGAGTGATGTCTTGACTCGTATATGAATAGGATTTAAGAGAGGCAGAGTTGCACAGAGTTGTCAGCCTCACTCTCTCTTCCTGTGTCATCAAAGTCTAGTAACAATACAAAAGTCAAGATGGCTGGCAATGGCTCAAGATGCAGGAGATGACCTTGGCATCTTCAATGTCTGACCAAGCTCCAAGCACTCCACAGTGCCCGCTTCAGTTGCCTTCATGGCCACTGGAACAAATTGTTCACATCTGCCCATTTTGCTGAGGGAAGCTGTCACATACTTAGGGTAGGCATCCCCTGATTCACTGAAGGGTTTGAGGCCTGTAGCTTACCTTCAACTTGGTTTAGCCCATCTACCAAGATGGTTTTACCAGGGTGTGCCTACTATCCATGTTACTGCATCTTTGAGCCACAGATGAGAGTTGAGTGCCAGGTAGACGCCAAAGGTAGATGAGCAGTCCTGAAAAGGGCGCACCAGAGGTATTAGTCCTCCCTGATCACCCCATATACCCCAATTATTATTATTTATTATTTAGAATGGAAAGGAATTGGGTAGTAGAAACAATGTTGTACCAAGAATCATGAGTCCTAGGTTTTAGTTCTGGTTCTGCGGTTAGCTTGCTGTATAACATTGGGCAGACTATTTCCTTTCTCGCAGTTTCAGGTTTTTTCATCTATAAAACAGGTCAAAGTAGAAGAAGGGATATTTAGCTAATTTGTTGTTCAGTCATTCAGTGATGTCCAATTCTTCATGACCCCACGGACCATAGTGCGCCAGGCTCTTCTATCCTCAAAGTCTGGCCAAGCTCATGTTCATGACACCATCTGTCCACCACATCCTCTGCTGTCCTCTTTTTCTTTTGCTTCCCATCTTTCCCAACATCAGGGTCTTTTCCAGTAAGTCCCATATTCTCATTCTGTGTCCAAAGTATTTAAGCTTCCACTTCAGTATCATCATTTTAGGATTTTAAAGGATCTTCGAGGTGATTAAGTACAACCCCTCTCATTTTACAGATAAGGAAGCTGAAGGTTTCACCCAGGGTCACCCAGTTTGTAGGTGGCAGAGCCAGAGGTCAAACTCAGGTCCTCTGACTACAGTGGTACAGTATTCCTTCCCCAGTCCTATGTTTTGTTGTTGTTGTTGATGACGTGTTTCAGTCATTTCTGACTCTTTGTGACCCCGTTTGGGGTTCTCTTGGCAGAGATACTGGAGTGATTTGCCATTTTCTTCTTCAGCTCATTTTGCAGATGAGGAAACTGAGGCAAACAGGGTGAAGTGACTTGCCCAGGGCCACATGGCTAGTAAGAGTCTGAGGCCAGATTTGAGCTCAGGAAGATGAGTCTTCTTGACTCCAGATTTGACACTCTATCCAGTGGGCCCCTGCTCTTCCAGGTTCAGCTCTAACATTCTGTGATCAAAATTTAGATCACTTTCAGAGAAGGGAGAGAAGTCCCCAGACCTCTGAGCCCCACCCCTGGCCCAGTGCAAGGGGTTTCTATGGGAGGAGGGGCAAGGAGCTTGAAATCAAATAACTAGTCTGTGCTCACAGCAAGACCTCCTGCAGAAGCCCAGGGGAGAGGAGAAGAGACTTGGGCTGCCCAAGCTCCTACCTTCAGAACTGGCTGGCCTATTTGAAGTGGAGGGTGAGTGGGAAGTGGAACTATTTGCCAGTCCCTTCTCTATATCAAGTAAGGCTTCCTCCCAGGTTCCTGTGCTATCTGTCCTTCATTAGCTAAGTCCTTGTATTTTAGACTAGGAGGCTTGTTCCAAATTCTGCACATTCAGGCCATTGGTAGCTTCCACAGGCAAACTCAGAGAGAAATGCACTTTCAGTCACTCCTTGCAACAGCTCTCTCGGGGGGTGGGAAGGGGGATAGGCTCTGCTTCCTTCTCTTTTCTCAAAGACATTTCTTCTGCTATCCTAGTAGGCGTGGATGTGTTGTCCTGCTCCAACATCTACCAGCTCTATGATGATGGGCCAGTCATCTAATGTGTTGCCAAGTCACATTTCTGCCTTGACAACATCTCTAAGATTTGTCCTACCACTAACCTGGTGTAAGGCAGCTAGGTGGCAAAGTGGATAGAGTGCTGGGCCTGGAGCCAGGAAGACCTGAGTTCAAATGCAGCCTCAGACACTTACTAGCTGTGTGGCCCTAGGCAAGTCACTTTGCCCTGTTTGCCTCAGTTTCCTCATCTGTAAAATGAGCTGGAGAAGGAAATGGCAAACCATTTTAGTATCTTTGCTAAGAAAACCCCAAATGGAGTTACAAAGAGTCAGACAGGACAGAAATAACTGAACAACAAGCCAATGTGGTTTTTATGTTCTCATACCTGGACTATTCCAGTAGCCTTCTAATTGATCTCCCTGTCATAAATCTCTTCCTATTCCAATCCTCCACTTAGATGCCAAAGTGGTTTTGCTAACCTTTCCATGTTAGTCTCCTACTCATTAAATTACAGTGGCTCCCTATTACCTCTAGGATCAAAAGTAAAATCTTGTTTGACATTTAAAGCTCTTTGCAATGTGGCCCCACCCTAACTTTCCAGTCTTCTTCCACCTTTCACACCCTATTCTTCATGGACATCTCCTGGTGCCTCGCTGTACCGGGGATGGGCCTGGCACTACTTCCTCTTCCAGGCATCACAGGGCTATCGTGCTGCCACCTTTGCATTGTCTTCTCCCTGTCTTCTCTTACCTCTGTGACCCCTGTCCCTTGCCCTCTGCTTCTCCCCCTACTCTCCTCTCTGGAGTTGGGAAGGTAAGGATTATCAGTCATACTGGGGAGGCTCAGGCCAGAATCTCTGGAGGGTAGATTGCCCTATCTTCTGGAGTGGCTGTCATTCTCCCCCTCCCCACCATTCCTCCTCCTAAGCTGAATTGGTCACAGATGATAAAATTCTTTTTTCAACCTCTATTCACATCCTTTGAGTATTTGCATTTTTTTGATAAGACAGTGTTTAATTTACAAAGATAAAAGTTCTATTGCTAGAACTGTAGGTAATATGGATTCTGGGTGAGGAAGGTAGAGTTACACATAAGCCCTCCCATACCTGTCAGGTTGTACTATGTAGACAGTAGAGCAGTCAGTCTATACTAAGACTGCCACTGTTCACCATTATCCTCCCTGTTAGCTTTTAGGAAGGCCCATGTCATAAATTCAGGCGATGGTATGTATTTATAATCTCACTTTTAATTTATCCCACCAGGCCAAGACTGCCCCCTCAACATTTAGCAATGCAATTGTAGGAAGAAGAGCAGGAAAGAAATACAGACCTCCTAGCTGTGGAGAGAGCAATGGAGTCCAAAGACCTGGGTTCAAATTCCAGCTCTGCCATTGATGAGGTTGTGTGACCTTGGGTGAGTCATTTAAGTTCTCGATGCCTTAGTTTCCTTAATCTGGAAAATGAGGATCATGAAGATAATACCTCAACTATCTGCCTCAGTTAGTCATTCAGTCAATAAACACCTACTATGTGTCAAACACTGTGCTGAGGAGCCGGAATCACAGGGCTATTGTGAGGATGAGGTTTTGGAATCTATAAACCACTATAGAAATGTGAGTTATTATTATAAGGAAGGAAGGAAAACATTGTTTTCAGATGAGACCTGAGATTGGATAGGGAGCCAATGAGGCAGAAAGTGGTTTGATTTGACAAGAACTCTTGGATGGCTGGAACATCTCCCTGGGAGAAGAGCTGTGCTGGGGTGAAATGGGGATGCTCCTGAGAGCCTTCCCCAGTGGCTGGAAGTCTGCTTTGATCACTAACTGCAGAGCTAGGGCAGCACTGCAGTGGGTCACACCCAGTATGTCCCAGAGGCCACCTTCACCATCCCAGTCTTGGGTAGGGCTACCTCCAGAGCTCCAAGCTAGTTTCTGCCTCCCTCCCTGACTCCCTTTGCCTATGGATTTTTAGGGATAACCATGGTACAGTGAAAAGAGCACTAGACTTGGTATCTGGACACCTGGGTTCAAATCTTGGCTCCTGTGTTTACTAGCTAGATAAGCATGGACAAATCTTTTCCCTTCTCTGGGTCTCAGTTTTCTCATCTGTTAAATGGAGACGATAGTATAGGTACTTCCTGAGAGTGCTTGTAAACCTCAGTCGCAATTATAGTCTCTAATTTGGGGATATTGATACCTGAACTCCCTACCTCATAGAATCATTGTGAGGATGCCTTAAAGCAATATAAGAGAATTATCCCCAGGCGGAAGGGGAGTATAGTTAGCAGTGGAATACTCGTCCTCAAGTATTAGACTGAGGATGTCCCTCCTTAGCTCAAGAAAGTCCAATGGTTCCCTGTTGCCCCCAGGATAAGATAGCAATTCTCCAGCCTAATATTTAAAATAGAATCTGGCTGCAGCCTACCTGTTCCAGACATTTCACATTATTTTCCTTCTCACACTCTATGTTCTAGCCAGACTAGCTGCAGTTCTTTGAGCTTGGCATTTCCCTCCTGTCTTCATACCCTTGAACAGACTGTTCCTGGTGCTTGGAATTCATTACCTTCTTATCTTCACTTCTTAGAATTGCTAGCTTCACTCAAGGCTTGGCTCAAGCGCCGCCTCTTATAGGAAATCTTTCCTGATTGCCCTCGCTTCTCTTGACGTCTCACATCATTCTGTGGATCTATAACCTTCTTGAGCACAGGGACTGTTTTGTTTTTGTTTTTGTGTTCTTGGAATGTAGCACAGTGCCCTGCACATAGTAGGTGTTTAATAAACGCTTGTTGGATTGGCATCTTCCCCCATCCCTTGGGCATTCTATTGGCACCATCTCCTATGAGGTATCTTTATAAAACCTCTCATGTCTACAGTTTACAATGCTTTAAAAAAAGAGTTCAGGCTATTGTCCAAGGTCTCCCAGCTAGTTAGTGGCAGGATTGGGAATAAAAAAAAATTTAACTTATCTTTACCTTAACCTTGACCATCTGGCTCCCTTCACAATTCCCAGGGAGAATGACACCCCAGCACAATGACCTTCTTACACTTGAACTTAGTGTCTTCCTAACTGCTTTTGCATTTTATTGGCTTCTGCTTTTTACTTTCTTATCACAAGCTTCCCTCCCTTCCCTTCCCTTTTCCGCTTGGAGAATGAAGGCCAAACAACAACAACCCATCGGCCAGGAGGGCGCCTAGATGGGCCATTGTTCTTGTACTGCTCTCCTATTTTGATGGTGTCAGGGGCTAAAGAAATGTGCCCATCAGGGAGATGCAATTTCAAAGACTTTGGAGGTTTAAATAGTTTGTGGTGGTTGTTCAGATGTGTCTGACTCTTCATGATCCCATTTGGTGTTTTATTGGCAAAGATACTGGAGTGATTTGACATTTCCTTCTCCAGTGTGTCAGCATTCTACAGATGAGGAACTGAGGCAAATAGGAGTTAAGTGACTTGTCCAGGGTCACTTAGCCAGTGAGTGTCTGAGTATTTTAGCTATATTTCTTTAGTACTTCTGAAAAGTCACAGGTTGCTAGAGCTGGGAAGGAACATAGACATCATCAAATTCAACTTTGTTTTGTAGGTTTTACAGAAGTGAGAACCTAGAGGTGAGAAGAAACTTGCCAAAGGTCATCCAACTAGTTAGTGCAGAGCTGAGACTTGCTCTTGCCTGGGTTCTAGACCAGGCTTCCTTCCACTAAGCCATGTTGCCTCTTGCTTCTTTGACCTCTCTCCACTGATACTTGCAGCCTGTTAGAGCGGAAAGAATTCTGGCTGTGAAAGTCCCAAGAGACAGGTCATTCCCCAGCTATATGACCTTGGGCAAGTCACTTAACCTTCAGTGAGTTTCAGTTTCCTCTTCCTCCAAATTAGGGGATTGGACTAGATGATTTCAAAGGCTGCTCCCAGCTCTGATTCAACAACAATGATCATACCCATTTTATGGCCTAGTAGGAAATCCTAGTAGAAATCACAGGGTTTGTTCATTTTTGTTTTATTAATAAGCATTTGTAAGTAGGGAAATTCTGCCCCCCCCCCCGGCTCCTAGATTTAGAAATAGAAAGGACCTTAGAAGGTCAACTGGCTCTTCCATTTTACAGACAAGGAAACAGAGGCTCACGGGTTAGTCACTTGACTTGCCCAAGGTCACACAAGGTTGGGATTTGAATCCAGGGAGTCTGACTCCAAGTCCAGAGCATTACCCTAGTAAGTCCTGCCAAAGACTCTCTCTCTGCCCACAAGGCCTTTGAGAGCTCAGGCTTGCCTCCCTTGACGCCCAGTAAAGCATCAGAGGACATCAGTGGAGGATCATGATAAGAAGGAGAGCAGAAAAATGAAAAGAACTTGGTGAAATCACTGTTTATTTGGCATAAAATACTCCAGATGGGCTCTTCTTTAATGTAAATAAGTCTAGATTGGCTTTTTATTTTGTACCATTGGCTCCTTTGGTACTTTGGATTCCTTCTCAGAATATTTCTTGCCTACATTCATTAATTAATTGGGCAGCTAGGTGGTATAGGATAGATGCCAGGCCTGGAGTCAGGAAGACTCATCTTCCTGAGTTCAGATCTGACTTCAGACACTTACTGTGATCCTAGGCAGGTCACTTCACCCTGTTTGTTTCAGTTTCCTCATCTATAACATGAGCTGGAGAAGGAAATAGCAAACCACTCCATTGTCTTTGCCAAGAAAACCCCAAATGGGGTCACGAAGAGTCAGACATGACTGAAACAACTGAACAACAGCACCATTCATAATTGAAGGAAATGCTAACTTTCAGTTAGCAATTAGAGAAAATAAAGGTGCATTTTTTGGTTGTCATTGTCCAAGTTCCAGGACCCCCTGAAATCCTTCCACAGATGCTTTGGAGATGTGTGGATCCTGGGTTATGAACCTTTGGCCTAGCAGTAGGTTGTAGAAATGTACTTGGTATCACTCAAGCTATTCTAGAATGAGTTGTTTGGGATCTCTGTACCCTTTCCAAGACCCTGCCATGGTAGAAGGTATTTAATGAGGTTGGAAAATGTGTCAATTTCCACCAGGTCCTTAAAGGCTTTCCTAAAATAGCTCTCTGGGCCCAAGGGGTTGTCTAGGTAGCCTCAGGGTCACAGGTTGTTAGAGGCAAGAAGTAGACATTAAGACTGGACTAAGGGTGGAGTAAGAAGCAAGGAAAGAATACAGATCAGTTGCAATTATTAGCTGGAGCACAATGGCTACTAGACGGAGGCAATAAAAATTGAAGGATAAAAAAATTTGAGTGAATATTTATGCATTCTTATGCAGGAAAATTCATTTGATCTTAACACAAAGTCATGTGCTTAAATTAAAAATAACTCAGAGGATGTGTTTTGGGTGGGAAGGACAAGCATTTATTAAGTACCTTCTATATACACCAGGCACTATGCTAGGCACTTTACAAATATCACCTCATTTGATCTTCCCAACAACCCCGGGAGCTAGGAGGCTATTATCATTCCCACGTCCCAGTTGAAGAGACTGAGGCAGACCGAGTTGAATGCCTTGTCCAGGGGTCACATAGCTAGCACATTTCTGAGAACTAATTTGTTTTGTCTTGTTTTGTTTTTAAATTTATTTTATTTTTAATTTATGGGATAAAACAAGCATTTCCGTAACATAGTATAATAAAAAGGGTGAGTACACATGAAATTACAAATCTATTGTATATAACTTGCTATTCATTTTAAATAATTTTTTTTCCTTTTTTTCTTCCCTCCCTCTCCCCCTGTCCTAGAGATGGCTACCATTAGACACAAATAGCGCTCTCTCTCTCTCTCTCTATGTATATATATGTATGTGTGTGTGTGTGTGTGTGTGTGTGTGTGTGTGTGTGTGTGTGTGTGTAAAATTATTCTATACATATTTCTATTTATCAGTTCTTTCTCTGGATACAGATAGCATCTTTCTTCTTATATCCTTTGTAGTTAACTTGGATATTTAAAAGTCAAAATGACTTATTTGCTCAAAGTCATTCTTAAAACAGTATTACTAATTTGAACTCAGGCCTTCCTGACTCAGACCCAGCATTCTAGCCACTGGACCACCTAGCTTCCTATTGGTGAATGAGGAGTGGATACCTCAGTTAAAATCTGCTTTACAGGCTTAACAGCTAGCTGTGTGACCCTGAGCAGATAACTAATCTTCTCTTGGACTCAGTTTCCTTAACTGAAAATGGGGATAATAACCTTTAGGGCTATTGTGAGACTCAAGTGAGTAAATATATGACAACAACAACAAGCTATTATTATCTGATCTTAAAGCTTCAAAAGTCCCATTTAAAGAGTGAGAAGGTCATATCATCCATCCCTCCTTTTCTCTGTATTCTGAAAAGAGCAGGTTGTTTTGAGGATACCCTTCTGTTTTTTTAAAGCCAGATACAAAAGTAGAAGTG